GAAGCCGGGCAGTGCCACGCCGAATCCTAGCACTCTGGAGCCGAGCGGGAACGCTCGAGGTAGGAGTTGGTTATAACCAGCTAAGGGCCGTGCGGTGGCTCACGCCTGTTTATCCTAGTCGAGGCCGAGGCGGGTTCGATTGTCAAGTCAGAGTTCCAAACCAGCCTGGCCCTTGAGCCCAGGAGTTCCAGACCAGCCTGGGCAATATCAAGACCCGTCTCTACAAAAAAATAGAAAAATTAGTTGGGTGTGGTGACATGCACCTGTAGTCCCGGCTACTCGGGAGGCTGAGGCAGGAGGATCGCTTAAGCCCAGGAGTTTGAGGTTGCTGTGAGCTATGATGACACCACTGTACTCTAGCTGGGGCAACAGAGTGAGACTCTATCTCAAAAAAAAGAAAGAAAACAAATTTAACCTAAGGTGTTTTGGTTTGTTTTTTAATGTGGCAGAGAAGTTAGAGAGAATAAAAAGTAGGATAGGGAGGAGTTCCCTGGATTTAGGTTTGCTGATGTGCTTGTCATTTGCCCCTCAGAGCGCTGTTGGCAGAATGAAATGGTTCAAGCCAGATTCAGGGAGGGACTGGAAGCAAAAGGAGTTTCTGTTTGAGGAAAACGCTGATGTTTGACAGGCTCTGTTTAATTGGACAAGAGGAGGAAGGCTCTGGACTTTTCCTCTAAGAGTTCAGAAACAAGGCAGGGGTGGTTGAGAGCAGGCTGCAGAGTAGCCTGGAGCTGGCTGCACCTGGGCCTCAGGTTCCCCATCTGTGTAACGGGTGTCAGAGCGCTTCCTTGTGGGGACGCTGTGACAATGAATCAGCTGAGATGGTGAGGTAGGTGGCACAGCGCTTGGAACGCATAAAGTGTTCCCTGTGTGTTTCAGTACGAAACGATCAGGAGGCAGCTTGAACTGCAGGTGGCTAAGTTGAATCGGAAATTTGGCCCAGGTGGCTGGGTGTCCACCCTTGCACAGCGCCCAGTTTATTTAGGTGCTAATAAATGTTCCCTTTTGTTTCTTTCTTTTTGATCTTATTTTTAGAGTGTGGTTTGGAAGCTCTTATTTCAGGTTCGTGTGTTTATCCTTTATTTCTAGGCAAAGGAAACCAGCAACAAGAAGAAAGAATTTGAAGAAACTGCCAAGAAAGTGCGCTGCGCCATTGAGCAGCTCGCTGCCCTGGAGTGAGGCCTGCGACCTCCTCGCCTGGTCCTGGGGGCTCCTCGTTTCCAAGGCCTGTTCCCAGTGTCTCCAGCCTTTCTCTGGGACACCCCCGCCCCCCAGCAATGCCTTAGGAAAGGAGAACATCAGAACTTTGAATTTAGATATTTCGACTATATTTTTGTTTTCTTTTAAAGTGGCACCAGAGGCTGCTGCTGCCAGTGCAGCTGCTGCCGCCAATTACAGTACCTGATCCTCTTTCTTTCTTTGGTGGTTTTGCTTTTTTCATTCCTGGACCTAGCAGGTGAGACACGGGAGAGGAAGAAGGCAGGGCTGATAGCTTTGTTCCTGTGGCCTCAGGTCTTTGTCTCGCTGTCACTCTCAGAGCCAGTGTGGACTTGGCAGTGTTTGTTGACTCTGAGCGGCAGGTTCCTCACCTGTCACGCACCTGTGCTGCTTCAGCGGGTTCTCTCTCTTTCTTTTTCCATACCCCCCTCCCCCATTAGTTACTCGATTTTTGTGTGATGAGGGGGGAAGCTCCTCCTAATGTTTTGAACATGGTTTTCCCATTTTGTTTGAAGTATTATTTCACAAAACAGCGCAGATGACAGCTGGAAACAAGCACAAAGCCATTCTAAGTCACTGGGGAAAGGAGGGCGAGCATTAGGTAGACCTGGAGATGAAGTGAGGTGGCAGGAAACAGCTAGCAGATCTCATTTATGAAATTGCTGCACGATTAGACAGGCCTCGTGAGCCGTAGGGCACACGCCGGCTGTTCCCTCAAAAAGGCAGTGGCCTGAATCCTTTTTAAATTACTTGGCTCGGCGCTGCGGGGACTGGCGGGGCTGCTGCAGGCCGTGTGTCTGTCACCCTGGCCAGGCTGTGCGGGTTGGCTGGCTTCCGATGCTGCTCTGTCCTGTCCGCACATCTGTCACAGCGGGGTGGTGGGAGGCGCGCGGCTCCAGTCCCCACGGGCCAGCTCCCCGGCTGAGCCGAATGTGATATATTGTTTACCCTCCTTCATGATAAAGCCAGGTGCGGTAGTTACGCTTCTGCTTGACTCATGGAGGGTTACTCTGGTGTTTGTGAGAAATAAAAAGCATGTCATTTCAAACAGGGCTGCAGACCCTACTGGGTTCTTAAGATATGTCGTTTTCCTTGACGGGCCTCGTAGCGCAAGCCGACCTCCCGTGGTGAGGGTCCTCTGCCGGGAGCAAAGCAGCCTCCGGCGTCCTCCCGCGCCACTTGACCCCAGACCCATTTGTACCGCCTGACTACCTGGGAATGCACCGCTGCTTATATTTATGTTGCACGTCTCAGATGAGCAGAGATGTGTTTATCCTCTAAACTGAGATATTGCAGAATGGTTTTGTTAGGGAAAATCCCAGCCCACCTATCTCATCTAAGCTGCTTGCTGTTTTTATTTGTGCCAGTCTGTAAGTGCATGCTTCACTTTAATAACTGGTGCTCACAAGTCGGCTTTGTAGAGAAGCTGGAAGAAATCGTTTTGTCCTCAGTCCCTTGCAACGCTGGGGCCTATGCGGATTGCGGCTTTGTGCCTGTCTTGCGGCAGGTCAAGTTGAGCTTGCCCCTCTCAGTCCACCCTCCCACGTTCCCTCTTCTAGAAACTTGTTTCTTTTTCTTCTTTTTTTTTTTTTTTTTTGAGCAGAATCGTTGCTTTTGCTCACCTAGCTAGAGTGCATGGTGTTCAGCTAACTCATCACAGTAACCTCAGACTCCCAAGTAGAGGTGTGCAGCACCACGCCTGGCCGATTTTTTCTATTTTTTTTTAGTTGTCCAGCTTATTTTTGTTTCTATTTATTTAGTAGAGACAGGTCTCGCTCTTGCTCAGGCTGGTCTTGAACTGCTGACCTCAGGAGATCCTCCTGCCTCGGCCTCCCAGAGTGCTAGGATTACAGGCATGAGCCACTGTGCCCAGCCTAGAAACTTGTTTTCTTTTTCTTTCTTTCTTTTTTTTTAATTTTTATTTCTGATCACCATATACGAACCTGAAGAGAAACTTGTTTTCTAAAGGCGTATTTGTCACCAGACCTCAATGACTGCCAGCATTTGAAAGGTTAATCATATCTATTAATAAAGCCTGAGGCCCTTGTCTAAGGGCAACTGCCTCAACTTCTTTCAAACATGTGTCAGCTTCTCTGGCTCTCTGAGTCGGTGGAGTCTGGGGAGTGTTGTAGGTCGGGGCTCTGGCTGGCAGTTGGGAGGGGGATTCACAGGCTGCCAAGCTGGGTTGGAATGGCAGGTTAGAGCCCTAAGGGCCAGAAGGGAGTGGAAACAGCAGGGTGTTGTGCAAAAGGGTGCCTGCGGCTGAGGGCATGCCAAGCTGGAGCTGCACACTGTGGCTGTCTCACTTAAAAAGAACACACAATTGCCAGTAAAGCCTAATGTGATTTTATCTGCATTTTATTTTATTTTATTTATTTATTTATTTTTTGAGACAGAGTCTCACTTTGTTTTCCAGGCTAGAGTGAGTTCCCTCCGTGGTATCAGCCTCACAGCAACCTCAAACTCCTGGGCGCAAACAATCCTTCTGCCTCAGCCTCCCGAGTAGCTGGTACTACAGGCATGTGCCACCATGCTCGGCTAATTTTTTTTTTCCTATATATATTACTTGGCCAATGAATTCTTTCTATTTAGTAGCAGAGACGGGCTTCACTCTTGCTCAGGCTGGTTTCGAACTCCTGACCTTGAGCAATCCTCCCACCTCGACCTCCCAGAGAGCTAGGATTACTGGTGAGCCACCGCACCCTGCCTTTATCTGCATTTTATTTATTTATTTATTTTTTCTTTTTAAGCTGTTACTTCTGATGGAATATCTGCATTTTAAAATGCGGAAGTAGAGACTAAAGAGGTAAAATAACTGTCCAGGATTATAGAAGTAGTATTAAAAGTTTTAGGCCTGCAGTTTGAATCCAGGCAGTCTGGCTTCAGAACTGGGCCCTCACTGCTTGACAATCACTGGCCTTAGGTGTGATCAGCCACCTGGTTCCAGGGAGGGAGGGCTGTCTTTAAAGTGTCCCCATTCTGTTTTCAGAAAGTCAAATGGAACAGAAACCCACTTTCCAAAGCTTCCAGGATCCTTACCATTCAACATTTTAGCCTTTTTTTTTTTTTTTTTTTTTGAGACAGAGTCTCACTTTGTTACCCAGGCTAGAGTGAGTGCCATGGTGTCAGCCTAGCTCACAGCAACCTCAAACTCCTGGGCTCAAGTGATCCTCCTGCCTCAGCCTCCCGAGTAGCTGGGACTATAGGCATGTGCCACCATGCCCGGCTAATTTTTTTCTGTATATTCTTATTTGTCCAGCTAATTTCTTTCTATTTTTAGTAGAGACAGGGTCTTGCTCTTGCTCAGGCTAGTCCCGAACTCCTGAGCTCAGAGGATCTGTCGGCCTCCGCCTCCCAGAGTGCTAGGATTACAGGCGTGAGCCACCGCGCCCGGTCTAAGAAGGATCTAGTCTTTTTTTTTTTCTTTTTCTTTTTTTCCAAGAAACAAATGAAACCTTTATGATCTCTTGTCTTGACTTAGGTGAATCTAGCTCTTAACAAAGCAGAGAACCAACTGGGCTGTGGGTCTTCTCTTCACTGGACTTGGCCTATCATATTCGTGCCCGCTTTCAGCTGGATGGGACTAGACTGGGGCCTTGGCTTCTGGGGTTTCTACCGGGTGTCCCAAGTGGTGACATTGATCCATGTGTTTCCTCAGATATTTGCCTCTGGCTGCACCATGCGACCGGTGCTGAAGCCAGGAGAGCTGGGTCTTGCAGTGAGCTCACGGGTTTCTTGTCCTTGTTTTCCAAATGGCGGGAAGACAGGTCAGCAGGTAGCAAAGGCCTGCGAGATACCAAGATGAGAGCGATTAACCGCTTTGGGCGGCAACAGGACAGGGTCTCACCAAGCTGCGTCCAAACCTATGGAGCAGGCGGCTGGGTGGACCAGGAAGGGACAGGTGTGCATGTGCATTCCTGTAAGGGGGGAAGGGATGTGGCCCCAGGAGCATCTGCCTGATTCCCCGTCAGCAAAACCCTACCGGAGCTTGCCAGGCTCTCTGGACAGGTGAGGCCGAGGCGGCCGAGTTGAGCCCCTCGGGCCTGTGAGTTGTGCTTGGGGATGAGACCGCCCAGCTGTGCCTCCCAGTCAAAGGGCTGTCTGCGCAGAATGGAAGGCAGATTTCCAACCTGTGACCACAGCCATCTGAGAGCCCTTTGGAATGTTTGGTTTCCACTAGAACAGTGTCAAATCTACCAGGATGGATTAGCTGCCTAAGATACCCTCAGCGAATGAATTCGCCTGTTGGGTAGGGTCATTCGGTGAGGTTTTTTCTGTTGCAAGATATCTGCCAAAAGCAGCGACGTTGTTTGTGGTGTGGCTGATGCCAAGCTGAGCTGATGGTTTCAGCTGCTTCCCCTGCCCCTCGATGAGGCAGTGAAGAGATGTGTCACCAGCCTGAAGCAGGGCTCATGTGCCCATGGCCATGGCTGGGCTGGGCATCCTGTTCCTCTGACCTCTGGCATTTGGTAGTTAAATGATGTGTTTTAAAGAAAAGAGGCCTGGATGCAGCCTTGTTTTTTGTCACTTGTAATTGGAATTTCTTCCATCAAAAGGCCATCCCTGTCCCTGATTTCATTGGCAGTGGTCTGATGCCGGCTTTGAAGAGATTCTGCCAGCCTGTAGGCAGGCTTGGCGTTTTATCTCGGCTGATGAAAGAAGGATGAATAATGAAAAATAATGGGTCGTTCTAAAGTGGTACCTTTCAGACTGCGCTAGGTGTAATTTGGGTCTATCTCAAGGGAAGTAGACTAGTGGAATTCATCAAAGTAGCCCTTGAGGACAAGACCGCACCCATCTGGGTTTAAAACGCTGAACCCAGGCTTCAAAGCAGACAGGGTGTGGACTGCTAACCTGCCCTGCAGCATGAGAGAAACTCGAGTCCCTTCCACAGAGGCCGGTGGCTCTGTGTTGCCTGTTGCTGAAACCTCCCTCTAGGTAGCATGGCCTCAAACAGTGCCTGTCTAGGGCCTTGACAGCTGAATTCTTTTTTTTTTTGAGACAGAAGGCTTCGTTGCCTGGGGTTGGGGTGCCGTGGTGTCAGCCTGGCTCACAGCAACCTCAAACTCCTGGGCTCAAGCAATCCTCCTGCCTCAGCCTCCCGAGTAGCTGGGACTACAGGCATTTGCGCCACCATGCCCGGCTGATTTTTTCTATATATTTTTAGTTGGCCAATTAATTTCTTTCTATTTATGGTAGAGACGGGGTCTCACTCTTGCTCAGTCTGGTTTTGAAATTCTGACCTTGAGCGCTCCACCTGCCTCACCCTCCCAGAGTGCTAGGATTACAGACAGGTGTGAGCCACTGTGCCCGGCCTCGACAGCTGAATTCTGTCCTGCTTAAGCTTTATGGGGGTGCAAAGGACAGACGCTCTCAAACCAGCTCAGCTCAAGTGGCGGGGGGTGGGGGGTGTCGTTGGGGAGGCGCATGGTGGCGCATGCAGTCAGACGGGTTCCTGTTCTTTCTCCCGAAACACAGTTCACACAGGAGGTTTCCACCCAACTAAAGTAATACCGATCCTTGTTATATTTCTTTATTGTGAGGTAAACATTAGGTGACCAGAGTTCTCATTATTCACCATTCTTTCCCTAGCCTTAGCAGCGTCTGGGGCTGGAAGGAGGCCTGGGGAGAAGCTGCCCTACCTCCTACCCCTCCTGCCTTTGTAGGGGCTGCTGCCCTCTGAACACCTTCAGGTCCAGCTCCCAAGAGAGAAGGGCTCCCAGCGCAGGGGCCGTGGGCAGGGGTCGCCAGCTCCAGGGGCTGTCAGGCACCTGCACTGATGCAGCCAGGAGAGCCCGGGGCCGCCCACGTGCCCCTACGGTCTCTGGTGCGGGTGTGTGGAAAGATGGACAGCCTACAACAATTCTGTGCGGCTCTATCTAAATTCTGTTTGAAATAGTGTTTCAATAACTGCTGGGATTGTTTTTCCTTCTGACTATATTCCTCAAACCAAGAAGAGCCCAGCAGAGGAAAAAATGTCCAAATAATCTGAGATGAGAGCCCTGGGTCGACCTTGAAGGGCCACCATAAGTGTGATGTCCACTCCCTATCTGCAGGCTCCACCCAGCCAGTGCAGTGACCCAGAGGAGCACCTGAGATTTAACCCCAGACCACCCACCAGGGCTGCCTGGCCTGGCCCTCCCAACCATCACTATGATGGGTACCTTGCCCCTGGCTGGAGGCCTCCTCTTGGCTCCTCTGCCTCCCTCCACTCCTGTTCTTGACGGTTCTTTGTGCATGTTTGCTCCAGGAGTGACCATGCGGCACAGGCTGGCCTTGCTGGATGTGCATTTGTAATCAGGAACAAATCTCAAGCAAGGCGTTTTCCTTCTGAAGCAGCCTCCTTGCCCAGCCTGCCGAGGCCCTGGTCCACCCCCTGCACTTCCCTGGGCCCCATCTGGTTGGTGCTCAGGGATAAGACCAGGGTCCCAGGGCCAGCGGGACCTGCCACACGTCCCTGTCAGTCAGGGCTCAGATGCTCCCAGGAACTGCAGGACCCGGGTCCTGCTGAGCATCCTCTGGACCAGCCTCAGGCCAGACCCTTCCTCCTCCCCAGCTCTGCACAGCCCGGCCAGGCAGGCACATCCCCTCCGCTGCTGGAGAACCAGAGGTTTCGAGAGATTAAGAAATCTTCTTGGCTATAAAAAAAAAGAGAAAGAAAACAGAAATATGCCCGGGGCACAGCGGTGCGCGTTGGTAGTCTCAGCTATGGGGGAGGCCAAGGCGAGGGGATGGCTTGAGCCCAGGAGTTCAAGGCTGCAGTGAGCTGTGATGACGCCACTGCACGCCAGCCTGGGCGACAGAGCGAGACCCCGTCTCAAAAACAAAACAAACCAAAAAAGGAAATACGCCCAGGAAAACCTGCGGCCAGCCAGCCGTGGGGACACAGGGATTTGAACCCAGGCTGCGAAACAGCCACCTGCGACTCTGGGACTCTGCCCCTTCCCCGAGGGAGGAGGGACGAGCTCCGCGGCCGCCCGCAGAGAGGTGGGAGCGGCTTCCCCGCGAACCGAGGGGCCGCGCGAACCGAGGGGCCGCGCGAGGCCAGCGGCGGCGGGAGTGGCCGTGCCCGGAGAGCCTCGGCGCTCCCGCCCCGGCGCGGCACGGCCCCATGGCCCGGCTGGGCGCGCTGCTCCTGGCCGCCGCCCTGAGCGCGCTGCTCAGCTTCGCGCTGCTGGCCGCCGCGGTGGCCAGCGACTACTGGTACATCCTGGAGGTGGCGGACGCCGGCAACCGCAGCCGCGGGCCCGGGCGCGCCGAGCAGCTGTCCTCGCACTCCGGGCTCTGGCGCATCTGCGAAGGTAACCGACCCTGCCCACCTCCCTCCAGCGACCCTCTCCTCCGCCCTGCCCGCCCGCCCTCCTGCAGACCTCCTCCCGGCGCCGCAGACCGGCGGGCTCTCTCGGGCTGAGGGGTGGTGTGGAGGAAGGGGCTCCTGCCCAGGCAAGCCAGGGGCAGGAAGTGGGAGCAGGGCAGGCACTGTGTGGCCCTGTCAGGGTCAGGGTCAGGGTCAGGGTCGTGAGAACCTTCCTGAGCGGAAACCGGGACCTGGGGCTGTCCCCTGGCTTCTGGAGCCTGTCTGGCGCAGACCTGGGGCAGCAGGCCCCCTGAAGCTGGCAGGGGCTCTGCCACTTGTTTGCTGCTGGGTGACCTGAGATCTTGTTCAGGGACTCAACCCCCAAGTCCCTGGGATGGGGAGAGAAGGGAACATTCCCAGGAGCCCAGGTACCGCCTCCCTGGGAGACTGGGTCACAGCAGGGGGGAGGGGGAGGGAAAGGCTGGGCTCCTGGGTGCAGGTGGGTGTGGGTGGGTGCAGGTGGGTGCAGGTGAGGTGGCTGTTCTTGCCGCCGCTCTGCAGGGGCAGCCACAGAGACCCCGGTGCGCCCTTCCTGGAGAAGGGGCTGTGGCAGTGCATGTAGGGGAGGGAGGCCCCGTGTGTATAGCTGGGCAGGACTCCCTCCAAGTGACGGGAGTTGGTGCTCGCTCACCTTGCCTGGGGCTCAGACCCAGCAGCCTCCTGCCTGAGGAGTGCCCAGGCGGGGCAGGGGTTTCAAACACCAGGTCCAGGGGGGAGGAGGGTTCCAGCAGGCTGGAGTGGCCACGTGCCCCCCGCTGCTGCCCCTCACAGCCCCTCCTGACCATGTGGGGGCAGTCTGGGAGCTTCCCAGGCACAGGGCGAGTGCTGGGGTGGAAAGGATGCAGGCGAGTGTGTGTGCGTGTGTGAAGAGTGTGTATGTCCATATGAATGTGTGTGCGACTGTGTGTGCACGTGTGTGAACTAGTGTGTATATAAATATGAATGTGTATGTGAGCGTGTGTGCGACTGTGCGTGTGAATATGAGCGTGGGGATGCGAGTGCTTGTGAGCGTACGTGTGACTGAACGTGTGAGTGTGTGAGCATGTACTGCGTGAGCGTGTGTGTGTGTGTGTGTGTGTGTGTGTGTGTGTGGTGGAGGCAGCTGGGGACCAGGGATGGAGCTGTTCATCCATGTGACAGACTGTGCCTCCTGACGCACACGTGTGTGTATGTGCAGATGACTGTGCATGTGTGTGACAGTCAGAGAGCACACATGCCATGACATGAGCCGTGAAGAGTCCGGAGTGAGAGGCTTCCCAGCGAGCCCATTTTGCACCTTTTTCCTTTCAAGCCAAGCCAGATTTCCACACGGGACCACACTGTAGCAGCCCTGCCTGAGGGCTTCCCCAGGGGTCTCCATGGAGTGTTTGAGACCCCAAACGGGCCTCTGTGGGGCTTGGCTTGGGTGTGGGGATAAAGGATATGAAAGCCCTTGGGCCTCCCATCCCTCTTGGGTCCCCGACTCCGAGTCCCGAGGAGCGGCTGGCCCTGCGGTGGCGGTCGGCCCTCAGCTCCGGTGGGTCCCCCGTGCCTGGCCCCGGGCTCGGCATCCCTGCTTTCCAGGGCGGAACAGCTGCATCCCGCTGGTGGACCCCTTCTCCAGTGAGAGCCTGGACGCCTCCAGCCCGGTGCAGCATCTCGTCGGTGAGTCTGGCCCGCCTGTCCCGTCCTCCCCAAGTCCTCCGGCAAGGCCGATCCCAGGCACCCCCGTCCCAGACCGGCAGAACCACTTCCGGCTGGCCCGGCACTTCCCAGAGGACATTTCCACACGCACCCGCCTCGGTGCTCCGCTGTGGGCACCCAGGCACCTGACTCCCAGCCTGCCCACCCTCCCTGTCCCTCGGTTTCCCTTACAGTGGCAATGGCTGGCCCCTCTGTCGCTGGGGAAAGTGAGGCAGTCCTGAGCGTGGCTGTGTCTTGTGGGCCCCACTTGGGGACTCCCCTTTGTCTTTCCAAATGGGCTGCTGGTCTGCCTGGCTGGCGTCACCCCCCTGGTGGGCTGGCGGACACGTGTGTCTGCTGCCCCAGAGAGGCCTGGGGCAGGGGCGGGGAAGTGCCCAGGAAGCCTCCCCTGGCCCCAGGAAGCCTGTGCCACCGTGGAGAGCTGGCCACTGGGAGGGGCCGGCAGTTCCCCTGCACGGGGAGAGGGTGGAGCGGCACGTCTGCTGTCCCTGCGCTGACCGGCGCTGAGCTCGCCCCACTGTCCCGTGGGGCCTGGCCGGTGGGCCGGGCCTGAAACCCCTCTCCCGCAGCGCTGCACCGCACTGTCATGGTGGTCCTGCCCCTGAGCCTGGTCCTGCTGGTGTGCGGCTGGGTGTGCGGCCTGCTCAGCTCCCTGGCCCGGAGCGCCCTGCTGCTGCTTCTCACAGGCTGCTACTTCCTGCTGGGGGGTGAGTCCTGGGGCCCCGGGGGCCAGCCGGAAGGATGGGAGCTCGGTGGGTCCCGGTAGCAGGTGCTGCCTCTCCTCTGCCTCCTTGCCCGCTCCCCTCTGGGCTGGTGCGGGACCTGGGCCCACCCGGGGTTGGAGCCACAGCAGGTGGTCCCTGGGGGGCCCTGGGGCCTGAGAGGGCTTCTAGTTGTGGGGTCAGAGCCAGGGACAGGCTTGGTGCCAGGGTGTGGGGGCATCAGGAGCTGCACGGGGACCCCAGGACCTGCTCTGCTGGGTCAGATCATGCTGGGGGGCGTGGGCCAGCCCCCACCACTCTCTTCCCATTCCCAGACCATCCTGGGAGGAGCAGGGCGGGCCGGGTGAGAGGGGCATCAGAGTCCTTGGCATTGACCCCAGCCCAGGCCCAGGTGTTACTAGTGAGGGTCCACCCGCTGACCCGGGCCCAGCACTGACCGCCTGCTGGCGCTGGGCCAGTGCTCCCCGGGGGCTCCTCAGTCCCCCCTCACACGTGGGGGATTGCAGGCTTGGAGGGGTCTGAAGATTTGCGGAGGTTGGGGGTCCCCTCTCTGCCTTTTGGTGCAGTCTGCCCAGCGCCGTCTCCCGACTGCCAAGGCTGGTGGCCCTGCTGGTCAGCGCCAGGCGGGAGCCGGGTGGTGTCTGAGGCCAGCTCCACTCTCAAGCCGTGGCCGCAGGGACCAGACCACTGGGGCTGGGGCGTCCTCCAGGCGGGCCTGCTTCCCTGGACTTTGGGAGGCCTTGCTGGGGGGCTGACTGGGAGCCTACAGCGGGGGACGCCCGTGGCCTTGGTTTTGGTAACAGGCCACTTGAAACCAGCATTGAAGTCAAGGTCTCCTCTGGACAATGAAATCAGGGGAACCAAACTGTCAGCTGTGACCCTCACCCTGGAGACTGTGAGTGTTCAAAATCCAATTAAGAGGACCCTTGGAAGCCAGCTGCAGGCGTGATTAGGTTGGTTTTGTAACTAGGAGACACCAGCTCCCCTTGCTCAGGGTCCAGCCACTGCTTCCCTCACTCTTTGGTCCCGTGGGACTGGGTCAGCTGCACACCACTCTCAGGGGCCACCCCAGGTGGTCCGGGTAGGGCCAGGGCAGGCACAGCGGGCAGCAGCACAGAGAGCTCTGAGGCAGGGATGTCTCCCCAAGGGCACCTGCCTAAGGCCAGCTCACCTGGCGCTCCCCCCATTAGCATGGAAGAGGGGGAGGGAGATGGAGGGGTCCAGGATGGGTTGGGGTGCCCTTCCCTGAGAAAGGACCATGTGAGGACAGGGTGGACAGACAAGGCCTGGAGTGTCGAATCCCACTGCGACTGCCCTGCTCAGGACTGCAGGTGCCACCCCAGGTAGATGTCTTCTGGGGCTCTGATGTCTGCCAGGAGCTGAGCCTGGGCTCCATCTCCAGGGAGAGTCGGGTGGGGGCTCGGGTGGGGGTCCCAGCGTGTGAGCTTGCCCTTGCCCCTGCTTGGGTAGAGGGTCGTGTCCTCGGCCAGGCCAGATAGAGGCAGCTGGGGTTTGGAGGGGGCTCAGCTGGTGGGGCGGGGACTCGGGCTGCAGCTGGGGCCAGTGCTGCGGGCTAAGACAGACGCCTCCTGCTGCCTGGGCCCCTACTGGGGGATGACCGCCCCCCACGGCCTCTCCCAGCGCCCACTTCATTCTATTTGGCTTCACATTCTGCCCAAAATTAAGTCCATAACTTCTGCTCTGCCCTCCCTGGCCCGGGCTGCAGCTGTGTGTGTCCTCGCTCCCGCTGCCTCCCTCCCTCCTCCTGTCTGTGGTCCTCCAGGCGCAGAGGACCATGGTGAGAGTCAGGCAATAGGGGACCCCAGGGCTGTGCCCCTTCTCTGGTCACCAGTGAGGTCTAGACCTGCCCTTGAATGTCAGCCGTGTCAGTCACCTGTGCTTGGCTGGCAGTGCCCAGAGGGCACACCGTGCACCCAGGAGGTGCCTGTCGGGGGATCAGGGCCACCTGCCCCCAGCCATCATTTCCTACAGGTGGCACCGAGGGCAGGCTCTGCTGTCGGCCTGTAGCTGGGGACAAGGGGTGCGCCCTGGCTGGTCCCCCTGAGCACGCAGACAGGAAAGGCCCTGGAGGCCGTGGGCTGAGGCCTTTGTTCAGCTCTTTGCTGCACCCTGAACTGCCAGACAAAGGGTCAGCTGGCACCTGTCACACTATGCAAAGCCAGGCTTCCCTCCCTGAAGACGGCTCTGACCACATGGAGGGTCGGAGGGAGGAGGGCCCAGGCAGGCGTCCTCCCCTGCAAAGGCAGGGCTGTGGGAGCTGGAGGAAGAGCCCAAATCTCAGACCAGGGAGGGCGGGGCACTCTGGAAGGAGGGCAGGGGAGGGTGAAGGAGTGAGGGAGAGAGGGTCAGTGGTGAGGGCAGGTGAGGAGCTCTGGGCAGAGCCCTAGTCGCCCCAACTGCCAGCAGAGGTCACTGGCTATTCGTGTGTGTGCATGTGCATGTGCGCGTGTGAATGTGTGCACGTGTGCATGTGTGCATGTGTGTTAGGGATGAGGGGGGGATACAGTGTGCGGGGCATTCTGTAGTGGGGACCATGTGTTGGGGTGCAGGTGGTGCTGTCTGCAGGGGGTTTTGTGGGGTGAGGTCTCTGGGGTTTGGGGACTGAATTGGAGCCTCTAAAGCTCCATCCCCCAAACCTCGGAGTCAACCACCTTTGGCGTCTGTCCCCACCCGGCCCCCAGGGGTCAAGTGGGGCCTGGGAGTTGGGGGGCAGGCAAGGGGCAGTCAGGGCTGACCAGGAGAGGGGACAGTGGAGCAGGGCCGAGTCCGCAGGCCGCCTGGGCGGGGTCCTGCCGCAGCAGACGCATGGAGTAGCCGTGTGCCCTTCTCCCCCAGGTGCCCTGACCCTGGTGGGGATCAGCGTCTACATCGGCTACTCGCACCTGGCCTTCGCGGAGACGGCCCGCCAGTACGGCCCGCAGCACGTGCAGGGCGTCCGCATCAGCTTCGGCTGGTCCGTGGCCCTGGCCTGGGGCTCCTGCACCTCGGAGGCGCTCAGCGGCGCCCTCCTGCTCACGGCTGCCTGGGCTCTCAGCCGGCCGGTCGCCCCCCACTCTGTGGTCGTCTGAGCCCCAGCAGGCAGGCCATGGCGAGGAGAGGGCTCAGGTTCCTTTGGCCACTGGCAGGAGGTGGAGTCCTGGATGGGAGGGAGCCCGGGGTGGCAGGGCTGGGGGCAGAGCCAGGGCTCCAGGGCTCTGCTTTTGGCACCCTGGGTGTTTGGGGGGGCTCCCCTGCCCCGTTTAGGGGTGTTAGGGACTAATTGGTTTAACAGTGGCTTAGGAGAAAAGCGAGTCCAGAAAGAGGAAGCAAGTGGCCCTGGGGGGCACAGGGTGTGTGGCAGTCAGGTGGGGGTGCCGCAGGCTCCCAGGTGCTCAGCGTGTGCTCTTGCCTGCCGAGGGTATGGCCTGCACCCGCACGTCCCTGTGCCACCGCTGCCCCCATTCCTAGGACCTGGGGCAGTCCAGGGAGAGAAGGGGTTGTCATGCTGGGCGCTGAGGGCTCCCCTCTCTCCAGGCCCCAGTAGCCCTACTCAGTGTTTCCTGTTTTTCCCATTTTACAGAGGGGAAGACTGAGGCCCAGAGCAGCCAGGGACCCACCCAGATCACACAGAGCTGGGTGCCCTTGCTGGCCAGGGGCCTCCCAGCCCTGCTCTGTCCACTCTCTCCAGAGGGCAGGTGCTGGTGGAGAGGAGGCGGGGACAGGCCCGGGAGCCCCCAGGGTTTGCAGGTGGTGGGAGCTGAGTGCACCTGCCGCTCTTGGAGGGTGACTGTCCCCACGTGCGTCCAGGCGCTCAGACCCCTTGTCTAGGGGCAGGCCGCCGTGCCCTCTGGCCCTGGCCTCCCACTCTGCAGCACCCTGAGTGCCTGGTGCCCCCCCACTGAAGTGGCAGGCGTGGGGGTCCCAGTGGGTGGGGTGGGCTGGGGGAGTGTGCCCTGGCAGAGGAGTGTGAGCCTGTCCTAGGCCCACAGGTAGCCTGGGTGAGGGGCTTCTTAGCCAGAGGGCCCAGGCCCGAGGGTCACTGCTGGGCAAGGGCAAGATAGTGAACAGGGACAGCCAGCCCACGCCTGACCCGCCAGGGCCAGAGAGGCTGGGGCATGCCTGTTTGTATGTCAGTGGCCAGCAGGGTGGCTGCAGGAGGGTCCCAGGGGCTGTGCAGCACCTGGAAGTCCCATTTTGGGTGCAGGGGTCCTTCCTGAGCCTGGGGATGTGTGCGGGGCAAGGTGGCAGCCCCTCCCTCTCCCTCCATGCCTCAAGGTGACAGGAAGCTCCTGGGGGCCCAGGGGAGCTGGCACTGTTTTGGCAGGACCCACCGAGGACACAGAGCTGGGAGGAGAGTGGGGCCTTCCCTTCCTCCCCAAGTTTGAACATTTACCGTTCCATGTGCGAGCACGTGCCAACTCGTCTTTAAATAAATCAGCTGGTGGTGTGTGCCGTGTAAGCCATTTATTTTCCTCTTAGAGGTTTTCAAAACAGATACTACATGCCCATGTTGCACAAATAGTGCAAGGGCGAACCGACCCTGTTACCAGCTGTTCGCACAGCCCCCCAGACGTGGCCTCTGTGCATGTGTGTGTATGTGGCCATCTGTGCAGAGACGTCCCGTGTGTGTATGTGTGTGTGTGTATGTGGCCATCCGTGCCCAGACGTCCCGTGTGTGTGTGTGTATGTGGCCATCCGTGCAGAGACGTCCCGTGTGTGTGTGTGTGTGTGTGTGTGTGTGTGTGGCCATCCATGCAGAGATGGCCCTGTGTTTGCACACGCATGTGTGTTCACGTCTGTCTGGTGACGTGTTCTGCAGACACAGGCTGCTGCTCATTCTCAGGCCAGCGCAGGGAGGGAGGAGGCCCTGGGCCTCCGAGTTGGGTGAGGGGCTGGCTCGGTGGGCAGGTCCTGCCAGCTTGGGGGGATGGTTCTGGGCCTCCCCTCGCCCTGCCCTCAGCGCCATGGCCCCTGCCGAGGAGGTTCCGCTGTGGGGCCGCAGGGGACCCGGGGTGTGAGTTTAACCCAGGGCCTCCCTGACTGCAGGTGGGTTTAGGATCTGGTAGGGGTACCGCCTGCCCCTTCCCTTCTGGAACAAACCTGCCCACCTCGGTGCCACCCTCACTCCCAGATCATCCACAATAAAGACATACCACTTTGTAAGCAGAAAATTTTATTTTACTTTTTAAAGGAAAACACGTGTATTGGATGAGTATAAGACAAAGTCTAAGCCCTGACCACGGCAGTTGGAAGCCTCGCCGTCCAGTGAGCCTCACCGTCCAACTCCCACGTCCCTTCCCGCTGTCCTCCCACGGCTTCCTCACGCACTGCCCTGAACTGGGGGGGGCTCCTGCTGGCCAGATGGCCCCCCGCAAACGGCCCGCCTATGCCCTGGGAGCAGAGGCCCTGCCCTGGCTGCCACCGGGCTGCAGTGAGGGAGTCCCACCTGTCCCTGCACCCTCAGGCACCCTGTGCCACCCACGGGTGGCGCTCAGGTTTGCTGGTGCACGGCACAGCTCGTTGGGCAGCCGCCCAGCCCCCTCACCAGCAGCATGGTGGCCTCCACGGCAGCGGGCTCCACCGAGCAGACGGGTGACACCAGTTCCTGGAGTCCTGGGCCAGGTCCTGACCCGAGCACAGCCGACCCCGGGCCCTGCCTCTGCCCCCACCGCCCAGCATGGTCAACCTGGCAGGCAGCGGGCAGCCCAGCCCCGAGAGGAAGAGGACCCTGTGTCCTGACATGGCCTTTTTTTTTTTTTGAGACAGAGTCTCACTTTGTTGCCCAGGCTAGAGTGAGTGCCGTGTCGTCAGCCTAGCTCACAGCAACCTCCAACTCCTGGGCTCAAGTGATCTTCCTGCCTCAGCCTCCCGAGTCACTGGGACTACAGGCATGCACCACCATGCCCGGCTAATTTTTTGTATATATTTTTAGTTGGCCAATTAATTTCTTTCTATTTATAGTAGAGATGGGGTCTCGCTCTTGCTCAGGCTGGTTTCGAACTCCTGACCTCGAGCAATCCTCCCGCCTCCGGCCTCCCAGAGTGCTAGGATTACAGGCGTGAGCCACTGCGCCCGGCCCTGACATGGCCTTTGCAGTCACACAGACTGGGCTCTGCTACGTGTAACTGTGCAATCTTCGGCAGATCAGTTGACCTCTCTGGGCCTCAGTTTCCTCATTGGTGAAGTGGGGATGAGATTAGCAGATGAAAGACCCCAGTTCAAGGCTAGATTCTGCCAGATTCTGCAGAGACTGACAGCTACGGACATCCTCCCACACACCCAATCTCTGAGTGCTTCCTGGTGCCGGGCTCTGCACTGGGTGGGGGCTGGTAAAGCAGCCCCCGGGGCCCACCCTGGTGACTGGGCGCCAACCCTCCGCATCCTGGAGCCCTGCAGGGTGCAGCTGTGCTGGGGATTTGGGCCTTGCTGCAGAGGACACCCCCCCCCCCCGCAGGGCACACCCCGGGCCCAGTCAGGGGGAGCAAAGGGGAGGGAGGGCGTGAGGCCCAGCCGGGCACCGCTGGCGAATCCCTGGGCGTTCTCATGGTCCCTCAGCAGCACCTCCTCTGCGTCCGCCAGTCCCAGCAGGGCAGCACCCCCGCCTGCCGAGTGTCCCACCCAGGGCTTTCTGGAGGCGTCAGGCTTCTGTGATTAAGTTCTTGGGCCCCACCAACCAGAGCCCCCACTGGGGCGCCCAGGCCTCTCTAACGCCCTGGGGGTTAGAGAGGAAAGACTTCCAGCAGCCACCTCGGCTGCACCCCTGTCCTTGGGCCGCTAGAGGGCAGATGCCATCTGGGGGTTGTTAAAGGGGGGCCCAGGCCAGCAGCCAGGGTGGGAGCGCAGGAATCCCTGGGGCGCCCCCACCCACCTGCCTCTGGGCAGCCAGCTCAGGAGCAGCCCCACCTGGGAGAAACAGACAGACGGAGTCGCTGTGCCCCACGATGCGGGTGGGCGGCTCAGGCAGAGCCAGCTGCGCCCAGGTGGGCGCGGCCCGCCCGCAGGTCTGGGCTAGGAGCTGCACCTGGCCACGAGGAGCAGGCAGGTGGGAGGGGCCGGCTCTAGGGAGGAGCGGAGGGAGGACGGCCTCCAGGACCTGCGCTTGGCTCCCTGAGGAGTCCGGAGTGAGGAGACCCGGTTTGGTGACCGGCTGTGGCTGTGTGGGACCCGCGGTCACGCTGAGCCTCGGTGCTGCGCTCTGCGGAAAGGGCTGCCGGTGAGTGTTTCCACTCTTGTTTACCTGGCACTGGCCACGGCCAGACGCCGACCCCGGGCCGAGGGCGTGCCCGCCTCCACGAGGGAGATGCTCACGCCCATTTCACAGGCGACGGACACGGGTGTGGCGGGTTGGGGCACTTGCTGGAGTCCTCAGCCCAGCAGCCGCCTCCCCTCGCTGGCCCAGGTACGGCTGAACTGCAACGCGCTTGCTCGTGCTTGTCCCTGTGGCCGGGGACTCGGCTATCAGGGGTGGGGTGGGAGTGGGGGAGTAGGAGCCCCGAACGGGGCAGTAATTCCCTTTGCTTCTCAGCCCGGGACCACACACGTCCCTCCTGTGACAGCCTGGACACTGACGGGTGCCCATGACACGGATCGGAGGGGACTACATCCCAGGGTGGGGGTGGGGGCACAGTGGCGGAGCCAGGTCCACCTGGCCCCCCGAGCTGCTGTGTGTCCTCCAGGCACATGAGCTCACAGACGGGGTGGCAGGTGCTGCCACGGTCCTGAGTGATCATCCTCTCCAGCTCAGCCAGGTGTGGGGTGCCGTGGGGCAGGTCTGGGAGGGGCGGGAGTGCACCCCAGAGATCTGCAGGTGGGGGAGGGAATGAAAGACAAGGCAGGTCCAGGGGTCCATGGCACCTCCTTGCAGAGTAGAGTGCTCCTCTGCAGTGAGCAGCCAGACCCCCAAGCCCTGTGCCGCTCCTGCCCAGCTGCAGGCCTTGGAGCCCCTCCCTGGCCCGGGGCGTCTGCACACATACCTCTCTGCTCCCGGCCCAGCTTCAGGTGCCCACTAGAGGGCAGCAGGGCACCAAGCGCCGGCCAGGCATCTGCCCTGGGTCCCTGGGGCTGGCTTGAGCCGCTGCCGCCCCCACGCGGTGAATGTGGGACCCAGCTCGCCTTACTGCCTCCGCGCCAGCTTCTCTGTGGCTCTCCTGGACCCCTCTGCAGGTCCCAGCCTGGGGCCTGGGAAGCAGGTTCCTGCCTGAGCAACCTGCGCTGGCTAGAGGGTGCCCAGGGCCCCGGGTGAGCAGTGCCTGGTCCTTACCTGAGCCGCCCTGCCCTGCTCACAGACGTGGTGGAGGTGCCACTCCTGCCCAAGGAGGAGTGGGGAGCCACAGGGCCATGGCAGTGACACATCACCAAGATAGTCCGGGAGGAGGGTGGGTGTCGGCACTGAGTCCAAGGGGGCATCTGCCTCTGCTCAGCGTGGCCAGGCTGAGACCCAGGGCACAGCCAGCTCATGAGAGCCTTACGCCATCTAGGGATCAGTGGCCTTTGAGAGGCCTCACTGCCACGTGCAGGAACCACCACGCTAATGCACAACTCTAGGTGGCCACGCTGTGGATTGCTGGCCACGCACAGCCTGCACACCTGTGCCCAACAGCCCCACCCGCTGCGATGCTGCCCTTGGGGACAAGCAGCCCAGGGCACCAGCCCCCATTATGCCCCAGCAGGAAACAGACAGCACGTGCACGCCAGGAAACTGGAAGGGCATTTAATAAGGGGACAGTTGACAAAGGTGAGGCAGGTGTAGGGACACCTTGAAGACGGGCCTGAAGGGATAAGGAAGGTGTGGTTACAGGAACCGAGAGCCAGGGCTGTGTGGGGAGGTGCCCAGCGCTGGCCCAGAGACCCTCGGGACCCTTGGAGGAGGAGCAGGGAGGGGCAGAGATGCAGCCCCCACTCTCCTCCCTACCCCATCTCTGTTCCCCACTGGCCAGCCCAGCAGAAATCCAGGAATGTGGTCCCAAATGTCACAGTGCCAGCACATGTGCTCTGAGGGCCCGGAGGGTGAAGAGAAGCCACCCCATGCTCGCCAGAGCTGAGGTTGCCGTGGTAATGGTGGGCACAGGCAGAGAAGCCCCCTGCCCCCTTTTCCTGTGGCTCTGAGGCAGGGAGGAATGAGGGGGCTGGGGGAACCTCTGTCAACACTCACGCTCACTGGGAGCCACTGCATGCTGGCCCCGTGTGGGCACGGGTCACAGGGCTTTCCTTGCCATAGGCTGCAGGAGTGGCCAAGTGGGGCTGGTGCCCCGTCTGCCAGCTGCAGTCCGTGGGCTTGGGAACCCCACAGTTCTCTGCACCCCACCTCCTCCTGGGCCGTGGCCTCCACCCCCCAAGACACTCTCTTGTGGTTTGAACCCCTGTCCCCCCCACCCCGCCCCACACCTGTCTCATTTCCTTTCCCATCAGCCCCTTGCAGGTGGGACCTGCGGTTTCTCTGCTGACTTCCTCCCCCCGCCCCACGCAGGGGAGGCTTTGGGAAGCTGGAGGGGGCACGAGGGCACGAGGGTGCAAATGGGGCTCCTGGCTCCTGCTTCAAAGCCCACTGTGGTTCTCCTCTGACTGTGGCTGGCATGATCTAGCCTCTGTCTCCCCTCCAGGGACAGGGGTGCCCCCTGCACCCCACACTCCAGCCACATTCCCTACCCGTACCCTGAATACCTTTCTCACCAGTACACT